TACATATACTTTGTGTGTGTGTTAAATTCGTGAAACACCGTGAAACAGCAGGTGAAGACAAGATAAATTATTAGTTGTTACTTACACTGGTAAGGGATAACAAAATTGATAACTTAATAATAATTTACAGGTAATATAAGATATATATAGTGAAATATTATACTTGTAGACCCAGAGAACATGCATGTCTAAAAGACATCTTTAAGACACCTTTTAGACATGCATGTTCTCTAAGGAATATATTAACAACATTATATAAATATTGTATTTTATGTATAATTTATATATTGACTACAGGGAAATCATTGTGATGGATTCTAAACTTGCATTATTATGCATCTACAAGTATTGGAAGAAATGGAGACAATCATTATATCAGAGAGAAGTCAAAAAGAATGTGTTAAAATTATATATAATATATTAAAAAATGGTACAACGTGAGAATGCAATAAAAGAGAAGCATAAATAAAGAGAGCATTTTTTTTTAATAATGTCCGCTCGGCAATCGGTAACCGGTGATCATATAAAGCAGGCTTCTGAGCAACACATGCTATTAGAAGTTCGTCCGTTGTTATTTCTGTATCTTGTAATTCAAGAAGATTGACATCCTGTTCGGGAAGAGTATCGGTATCTTTATTTACTGAAAAGTATATAGACATTATCAAATCTAGATTTATTTACTGTAAATAGATAATAAATAAATACTGTAATACTGTATTTATTTACAGTACAATAAATACTGTAAATAAATTTGACTGTAATGCAGAAGAGAGGACAAAATAACGGAGTTTTCCAAATTTTCTAGTAAATAATTACAATTGTAATACTTACAATTCGTGAATGATAAATAAGGATAAACTTACCTATAGTTATGATGTTATTCTCATCGATATAAATTATAAATCATGTTTGTGGCTTTGTCATATTCAGAGAAGCACGAATGTTGTAACAAGTCCATATTCTTTGTTACAATCCATCCACAGTATCCACATTTTTTGCTCTGTGTACAGATCAATTATTATTAATACATTTAGTACATGTATAGAGATAATCATCCTAAAATAGAGGACAAAATTAACTGACGTTATGGTATTTCATATACAAAAGCAGGTCTAGTCACTTGATATATCTCACGTATATGAGAAACGTAAAATACCATATATATTATAAATAATTCAATTGCGATTCAAATAAATTCTGCAATGTTCCTTTACACGGTGAAACAAACATTTCAATTTTAAAACTTTTATTTAAAGTAAACTCACAATAAACATTAAGGTAATTTATGAAGCTCGTAATCATTAATCTAGACATATACAGCTTTACATAAGGATATGAAGAATTCATTATGAAAAATAACAAAAACCTCACAATCATATTTGACCTTTACCTATTTTTTGGATACTAGACCCCTAGCAAACATGGAACATTGCACAATATTGTAGCAACGTTAAAGCAACGTTACAGCAATGTTATAACATTGCCGCAACGTTGTTGCAATGCTGTGTTTGCTGGGCCTTTTATAGTAATATCTAATCCGATATAGGTTAATGGTTACTACCACCATAAATCAGCCTTAACCTTATATACTTACTAATTGTGATGATTTAACGCTGCTCATTTTTCTTGTAGCTTATTTTACTGCTTATCTTGTTTAACACATACAACGTTTTTATTGCACTACGTTATTGCTAAGAAGACTTTCTAGTCCCGTGTGTGTGTGTGTGTATATACAGATGTATGTATATGTTAACTGCGCGCAACTGCGAAAAGTTATTCCGCTAAAACCTACTGAAAACTGCGGAACGCTCGTGATTGGTTCCGCTCTCGTTCCGCGTTACGCTATTCCGCTCCATGGGACGGCACCCTTACACTCGGTGCTCGCGCGCACAAGCGCAACCATGTCCGTGTGCTGCGCAGAGCACTCTGCTCTGCAGCACACGGCATGGTTGCGCTTGTGTACGTGAGCACCGAGTGTAACACTTCGATGCTGCTCGGCCCCACAGTTTGCACCTCTGTGTGCAACTTCATTTGTTTTAATCGCAGAGAAGCAGCGAAATACGCAAAATGTCACGTAAGTATTATATAGGTTATAAACATATTTGAGATTTATAACGGTCTGCGTATAATAAAATCTGCGATTTTGAAACTATTTAAGTGACATCCCAGTGAGAAATGATCCGTCGATCGACGTCGAAATGATGTCGAGTCGACGTCAATTCGACGGTGTCGATATCGATTCGACGTCGTTTCGACGTCGATCGACGAATCATTCCTCACTGGGATTCTCCGGTAAAATGATTACAAAATAATAGATTCGGTTCGGTTTCCACTGACAATCTACTGCCAGATTTTGTTGGCGCAATGTTAATCTATCGCATGTCTAGTGCAAAATAGTTACATTTTATATACGAGTATTATAATTTTTCTTTTTCTTTGCAGATTCATCAAACAACGGTGACGTGCCAACGCTGCAACAGGTGTTGCAGCAGTTGCAGCAGCAACAGGCTGTTATAGAGGAGCTGCAGCGACGGCTGCAAGAGCGCGAGCAGGCGCGTCTTGACCGACGACGTTTGCCCATCTACAAATTGCCCGCGATATATGATATGCCGGGTGATGAATCGGAGACGGACCGGTAGGAAATTTTCCGATTAGTAATTCTAGTGTCGAGGATTCTCGAAGCGCGGCGGCTAATCTCCCCTTTCTGTTTTAGGAAACCTAGGTCGACGCTACTCTCCCGAGGACCGGCGAACGTCAGGATTGGAGGGAAAACGGCAAGCTGTATAACGCTTCATGCCATGAACGTGGGCAGCGCGCGAGCCGTTTGGAGAGGATTTGCCCATGAACCAGGGGCCGGTCGGAAGGAGCGGCAAGCGGCAGCTTAAACAGCGCTAGCCGACGAGGGGTGGGACGTGAGGAAGACCGTTGGAGAAATTCGCCGGACAGTACGCGGCCGATCGACAAAATGTTCGGTTCCCGATTTCGCTAGGTCTCGAGGGAAGGAAATAAAGTTGTGAATGAATAATAAAAAAAAAAGAAAACGCTGCGGCTATGGATGATCGATTTTAATATCGCTTTGCTTGTGGTAAATACAAAAAAGGGGAGGAGCCGCAATCTCCCGAGTCCGCACGCACGCGAAAATACTAAGTCCGAGATGACGCGAAAATTCTAGGTCCGCACGCACGCGAAAATACTAAGTCCGCACGCACAAAAATCAAGCTAGCTCACTTCGACAGACTAGTCTAGCGCGATGATCCGGATCGGAGTGCGAATTTCGGCTCGGCGACCCGCTCTTATATACCCCACAAGGGGTGGCAAGGTGAGGTACGGTGGTGAATATATGGTGTTGTGTGTACTTAGTTAATTATACGATTAACCATTGAAGTTTTCGGTGAAATTTTCCCTCAACTCGGGCCAGTGACCGCGCAGAGCCACCCCTTGCGCGCGGCTACACCGAGCTCCTTTAATTAACAGCGCTAATCGGACTCCACTTTTTCTGCACGCGATTTCCCCGCCTGAGAGTCACTTCATGTTCACGTGGCAATCCCAGATTCGCCGCTGAAGGACCGCCAGGCGGGGACCGATGCATGGGAATCCGGTCAGCGCAGCGTTCTTTCAACGCCAAACAATTTACCGCGTTGCAGCATTGACAAACTTTCTTTTGCACTTACAGGTATAAATTCATATTAACGCTACGCGCGGTTTCGCCCATGCGCGATCGGCCTCATGGTACCACGCGGCCCGCGCGTGCTCGACGCTCGCTCGGTTTCGCGCGCGAACAGCTGATCAGCGCGCGCGCGCGCGCTTACACCGCGCGCCCGGTGTCGTAGTTGCGCCCGGTGCGGCGTGACATAGAATACAAACCAATTAAGTCTCGCGCAAATTTACAATACAATTAACCACACGCTATCAGCAACAATGCTCCGGAGAAACAAACACACAAAATAATACAGAGGAGAAAAAAATACAGTTGCGTCCGGGGCAGGACGTGACAATACGATAATATATGATATGATAATGTGATGATACGATAAAAACATAATAAATATTCATAATATGTCAATTGAATAAACATATAAATATTAAAAACTTCAAGTTTTATTGACCGTATCTGCGGTCCTTCAGACCTTCACATACTTATTGCGTCACTAAACAAGTGCGTTAGTTAAATATCTTATAATCTTGTGACTCGCGAATAAGTGTGTAACTTGAATAGTACTCTCGATCATTAGAGGAATCCTCGTTCCGTGAAAATCAGGTGATGCTATTTTATAATATATTCTGGGATAATAGAATTAGATAAATATTGTACTGTTTCACATTTTTCTTAATTGTAACTAATAGTCGCTATAGTCGATTACTTCTGTTTATCAGTCATTTAATATTCTTTGTTCTGCTATATTTCCACCTTGACATATCACACTTGTCACAAAGACGAGTGTCTAAAAGATATAATATTATTTTCTAGTGGACTAGGCCTACAGGGGAAACCACAAAACAAACCGCGTCAACAATAGTACGTACCTCTTGGGTGACGTGGAAATCTATTGTCGCAATTGTAATTACATGTATATATATATATATAAATATACAGATATGTACAATATACATATAATAGGATAATATTCGTTTGCGCGTTTCGCGCAATAGAAATTTTTCTTATAACAGGGCCTCTATTCTTGAATTCATTTGTAAAGAGAAACGTATGCGCAAATTCTGTTCTAACAGAAGAGCTGCAAGTTTATTGGCTAAAAACTATACGATAGCTAATCAATTTGCAACTTTTCTGTAAGAACATAATTTGCGCATACGTTTCTCTTACGAATGAATTCTAGAATAGAGGCCCTGTTCAGTGTTCTTTATTACCGGCTGGCGGCTAGCAGCTCGGCGAGCCGGGCGAGCAGCGAGCGAGAACGCAGCGCGAGAGAAAGAGTGAGACATATGTGGCTATCTCCGTCTATTTAGCCGAAGTGGCCCGAAGCTCCCAGCGCTCACAGACGTGCTTTGTCATTGTGTGCGTCATCCCTACCACTCGACTCTCGCGTGACTCTCGTCCTCGATCTGGCCACTCCATGGACCTAAGAATCTCTGGACCGAGCACGAAGTGGGAGGACGGGCAAGGGGGCTGTTAAATTTGCGGTAAGGGGGGCGAGAGTGCTCTCCTTTTCTGTCCTCTTGGTATCTCTTTCTACAAGAGGTCACATTCGGCTTGATGACGAATGTAACCGAAGATAGTCGAAGTTTGTGTATAGTCTATTCATAATAATTTCTCGACGGGAACATGGACGTAAGAATCTCTGGACTTCAGAAGTTAGCGAGTATAGACTTGTCTAGTCTTTCGGGAATCATCGGATATACGGCGGAAATACCCGACGGTGACCTCTTGTAGAAAGAGACAGTACTATCCTCCCCTTACCGCGAATTTAACAGCCCCCTCGCCGTATGCTCGGTCCAGAGATTCTTAGGTCCATGGGCCACTCTGGTTGGGTGTTATGTATACGAGCCACTCAACACCCAGACAGCACGTCCAAGTTTCAGTTACATAACAGATACATTCCAAGATTTCGATTTCAAATGAAACGTGTCAGTTAAGAAACTATAATGTATCAGTTACATATCAGAAACATTACAGGTTTCAATTTCAAATGAAATGGGTCAGATAAATATCTGTAAATGTACAGTTACGTATCTGAAACCCACGGGTACGCCGAAGTTTCATATGCGTATCAAAAGCATTGCATAGTTTCGATTACAAATGAAAGGTTCAGTAACTGCCATATTGTGATGGAAGCTATCGGAAACATAACACATTTCAAAGTGCCATTTTTGTCAGTGCGTGTCTTTTGTCAGAGACGTGGTGTGCGCACTGCTACATACGCGATATATAACAGAATTTAAGATCGAGTCGTATAGTCGCCATTCTCATTATATATTTTATATTAAAATATTGCATAAAAAAAGCAATATGTATTCATTAAAGCGGAAGTATCGTCTTATTCAGAAAGACAACGTCGCCGAATCGTTCAACGACAAACGTGCAGTGACTTGATTATGTGTGATACTGACTGCAGTGATGATGACGATGTACGCAGGTTAAATGTGTCGAAAATTAATGATAAAACTGATGAGACAGTCAGTGCTGAGACAATCATCAGTACTGAAAAAAGAATTGATGAATCCGATGAAGCATCGATAAATTCAGAAGCGATATTTGCAGCAGAAAACTGTCATATCCTGGAGCAACCGCTGAACCATCATACTGCAGTAACTGAAATACTGCTGTTTGATATCAAATACCTAAATGAAACGTGTATATATATATATATATATATATATATATATACCGAGTATCTTTCAAGATGCTCTTGAGGTTCGTTTTCATAATCCTTTCTTTTGGGAGTATCCCTTTTGACCATGTTGATTGATCAGAATCAATCACATTGACTTCCATTGTAATCAATCAATTATAAATTTTTATATCAAATTAGTTAATTGGCGATGTGGTCAATTGGGTTCCATCCTTTCTTTTTAATATCCATTTACTTACCTAATCATTCCAAACTGCGTTGCTCTTTTTTTAGTTGTAAATAGTTCATATTATTGTATTATACTTTACTATAGACATTATGATAGATGTAGATCGGCTTTTATTTTTTCTTCAATTATCGTTTATTTCTTTAATCCATAACAAAAGCAGAAATTTTTTGGAACTATCCGACAAGCTGGAGGCGCAAATGATCATCCTGCTACTCCCACGTTTCTACAAATATATAAGATTTTATCTCTATATAGTATCCTAAAACCGCCTAAAACGGGAAATTGCACTGTACATAAGGACGTTTCGGAAGCTCCCCAAATTTCACTGTCTCAATTGAAGGCGATATATCAAAAGCCTGCATCTTCTCATACTCTTCTTCAAACCATCAAAGACAAATTAGATGCAGCGATTAAATAAGAACATTGGGATGTGAAAGACGTTATAGATCACGATTACTGTTTGCCTATTGCAATGGATTGTGTAATTTATTATGTGACCGGCTATCTTTCAAGACAGATCACAAAATATGTACAGTGTCAGCTTTGTAAGAATGCGTTCATAAGTCCAACTACGTACTCTAATCATCCTGCTGCCCGATTAACTAATATGAAAAGTGAAGGCTATCTTATCCATCCGAATGAAAAATGTTATCAATTTGTTAGACAACTTGAATTCTTTTTCCAAAAGCACTGCCATTCAGGTGCAGTTTTTGAACTTGTGTTAGAAGATATTTTGAAAGAAATTTCATTCACGTTTCCGTGCAAAGATCATATGCACGATATTATTCCTCATCTTATACAATATTATATTCTCATGCGTATGCGACAATTTTCTTTAAAAATTAATCAGGAAAAGAAAAAGGCGTATCAACAACAAAAAAAAGTTTCAAAATTTTGTACGTCATAAAAGAACCATGTATAATGAAATATGTAATATAAATTGTTTATACAATGTCACGATAAATGTTACTTGCAATAATGTCGGTTTTTTCCTTTACTATCCCTTTTGCTAGCATATATTTTTAGCTTTGTATATATATTACATACGCTACATGGACTTCCGTTTCCGGTGTGACCGAGAGTGACACGTGTGAGAGTTGAGCGAGAATTAAGAAAGCGAGAAGGAGAGAAAGAGGACCGAAGTGAGAGCGAGAGCGTGTGGAGGTGAGAGCGTGAAGGGAAAGGGACGCAAGGGAGAGGAGGGAGTTAAGGTAAGGGTGAAAAGGAAAACGAGAGAGGAGAAGTTAGGAGAAAGTAGGAGGATACAGGTTAGAGCGCGGAATAGGAAACACGGAGAGAGGTAGTGAGAGCAGTGGGAATAGCGACGGGCGGGAGCGCCGGAAAGCATAGAGTAGGCGGAACGTAGAGGGGAAACAGGAGAGGGAAAAACGGTAGGCAGGACAGGCCATAAAGTAAGAATAGAGAAAGAACAGGGAAAGAAAACTAGAAATGGAGGAGAACGGCGAAGAAGTACAGGAGGATAAAATAGAATTAGAAAGAATAAGTAAAATAAAAGGAAAAGGAAGAAGTGGGAGTACAGGAACGCTAGAGGAAATATGGAAACGGAAAAGAATAGAGTTAGATAGTAGTGGAGGGGAAGACATATTTAGAAAGAGTAGGAAAACGATGAGATCTCCGAAGGAAGGGATAGGAGAAGGAGAGAGAAGTATAGAGGAAACGTTGAGAGAGATGATGAAGGAACTGAGGAGAGAGGTAAGGGAGGATAGTAGAAAAATGATGGAGGAGTTGAAGGAAGAATTTAGAGAGAAAGAGAGAGAGAGAGAGAGAGAGAGGAAGGCAAGAGAAGAAAGAGAGGAAATAATAAAAGAAGGGAGAGAACAAATGAAGAAATGGATGGAGGAGAAGGAAGAGATGAAGAAGCATATAGAAAGGTTAGAGAAGAAAATGGAGGAGATGCAGGCAAGGAAGCAAGGAACGAATGAGAATGGAGGTGAAGCAAATGAGGAGGTGAAGAGGCTAGAGGGGAAGATGAGAGGTATAGAGATAAGAATAGAAAGGGAAGAGAGAGAGAGAGAAGAGAAGGAGGAATATAGTAATAAGAGGGATAAGAGGCGGAAAAGAGAAGGTAGAGACGGAGATTAGGAAATTAATGAAAGAGAATGGAGTAAAAGAGGAAGGACTAGAAATCAAGACGATAGAGGATGGAAAGGAAGGAGAAGTAAAGTTAGCGGTGGTAAAGATAGGAGATTTGGAGGAGAAGAAGAGATTGATGAGAGAAAGAAGAAAGCTAGGAGAAAAAGGAGTGAGAATCGAAGACGATTTAACGTGGAAGCAGAGAAGGATGAAATGGAAAATGGAAGAAGCAGCAAGAAACGAAAGAGAAAATGGCAAAAGAGTGTGGCTGAGATATGGACGGATTCAGATAGAGGGGAAGTGGTGGAGGTGGGATGAGGAGGAAGAAGTAATAAAGGACGGAGAAGGGAGGATATGGAAAGAGAAGGGGGGCGAATAGATGGGGTGAGGGGTGAGAAAGAGGAAGAGAGGAGAGATGAGACAGAGGGGAGGAGGAGAAGAGGAGGGGGAAGGGATGTAATAGAGGTAAAGGAAGAGAGGAAAGAGAGGGGGGAGTGGAAGTGGAGGGTGGAGAGGAGATAGGAGAGAGAAATAGAAAGGTACAGAAAGGAACAAGGGGGGGTAAAAGGAAGGAAATAGAGAAAGGTAAGGGGGC